GAAGTTAAAAGACTAAATGATTTTCTAGAAAATCTTTCTATAAAACTAAAGGTTTTGGTTCAAGAATTGTAGAATTTTTTTTTCTGTTCCACTGTTGAATAAAAGAAGAGTCTGTTTTGCCAATGTTTCTGTACTGTACAACTGATTTATGCACACAACAAAACATTTTCGACACACATCGAAAAAGAAAACTTGTCGACACAGTTAACCAACATTAGTTTACTGCTGCTATTGTTCAATCACCACCTAAGTTAATATTAGTAACAGGATAGCCTTGATGAATGATGTGTACTCTAAAGGTATTAGTAATCGGTTTGCCATCGGATTGATGAACCTAATGATGCATTGGTTTAAACTTTTGATTTAATCAAAGAGTACAAGCGGGTTAACCCATTGTAGTACACTCAGAAATAAAAAAATGTATATATAAGGTATCAGCAGTGTGATAGAATGTGGATGATGAAGGACAAAATGGTAAAGGAGGTGAAGAAAGAATAAATAAAAGAAGAAAGGAAAAAGAGAACGAGAAAAATAAAATAAAAAAATAAAACAAAACCTAAAAGAGAAAGTAAATTCGAGAGAGAGAGACGAGTAAGATTGCAAAGAATACGCAACAAAAATTTAAGTTTTATGGTTTTTTTGTGACCTGGTTCATTAATTGGTGGCCCCGTGGTGGTGTACGGCAATTGTAATGGTCCCTCGATGGAATGGATAGTATGAAACAAGAATAACTATAACGAAGTGGCACTCTGACTATGAAAATCTCTGAGATTTTTTAGTATAATCACATACACCATCAAGAATAATGCTTTGTGTATCAACATCAGTCAGTGAATCATTCAACAGTAGCATGTCCAATGTTAAAGGAACACTTAATTTTGTCTGTAGTTGTTTCCTAATTTCAGCATAAAATACACACTCAAAAAAATAATGACTAATTGTCTCATCTCCAACACCACAACTACACTTCGGCGACCGAACACAATTCCGTCTAAATAAGTTAGCATTCAATTGAGGATTATTTAGTTTCAGTCTCATAAATGAAATTTCAATCTGTCGATTAGGAAATAACAATTCCTTCGATAAGCTCTTCAATAATCGTTGACCAAGAATAGTGCTTCTCAAATTTTCTCTGAGTTTCGCTGGTTTCAACAATTGCTGAGCTAATGATAAGTCATTCCATTCAGCCGATGTTATGTCAAAAAAGGATTTTTTCTTATACATACCAACCGCTTTAATATGACAAGACAGGTTACTACGAAGATTATGAAAAGGATTCGGTTGATGACGACGAAGATATTCAGTCAAATAAGCCGGTGTATCTCGTCCTAAACTTTTTGAAAATAGTACTAAGCGTGAAATACGAAAGTGTTCGACTATGTGAACCCATCCTAAAACACACAAACATTTTTCATATGATGAACCTTCCATTACTCCAAGTATAATTCTCGCTGCATTATATTGTATATTCTGAATTTTCTGAATATTATAATCTGTAGTTATTGAGTAAATAACACAAGCGTAGTTAAATAATGTTAACACAAATGCCTTATAAATAATTTCAAGAGTATTCCTCATCAAAAGCCGTTTATGGTAAGTCATGAGTCCCAACATCGAATTAGAACGAGCACAAATTTTATCGATATGAGTGGCCCATGAAAGATCATATGTTAACCACAATCCCAAATATTTAACTTCCTCAGATTCCACCAGAGTGCCGTAGAAACCAATATCAGTGGCGGCAACAGAAGAGAACGAGCACGATAATATTGGGTTGAGAAGGTTATAGCTTCGCACTTCGAAATATTAAGCGGAATGTACCAAGTATCTGACCATTTTTGGACGTGAACAAGATTTCTATTTATTGTATCTGTTGAAATTATTGGATCCGAGTGATGGCAAAATAGAAATGCATCATCAGCAAACAACCTCATGGAAAACTCCATACCAGTCGGTAAATCATCGATAAATATTAAAAAAAGAAGTGGTCCTAATACGGATCCTTGAGGAACTCCCTTCGATATTTCGCGTAAATTCGATGTGACGCCTTCTAGTACTGTTTGAATAGACCTTCTTGCAAGATAGCTTTGAAACCATTTTAAAGCTTTACGTCTGATACCCTTTTTTCCCAATTTCATCAGTAGACCACTGTGACTAACATTATCAAACGCTTTTTGAAAATTTAACAGCACCGCGCGTACATAGCGATCATTTTCAACACCAATATTTATTCTTTGAATAACATCAAGAAGTAAAGAAGTAGTACTATCTTTGGAAATAAAACCGGATTGAAGTGTTGTTAAAAGTTTATTCTTAATGAGATAATCATAAAGTTGTCGAAAAACCACACGTTCACATACTTTAGATAGTGCAGGCAGTAAAGTAATAGGACGATAATTACTAGGATCGAGCAAATTACTCGATTTAAATAGAGGATTAATAAGACCACGTTTCCAATAAGAAGGAAATATCCCAGAAGAAAGAGATTCTCGAATCAAAATAACTATAATTGGAGCAATCGATGATTCAAGATTTTTCAACATCCGATTAGTTAAAAGGGAGCAGCAGCACGATTTGGATTTAATTTATTTAGAACAGAACACACCGTGTTATACGAGACATTGAATGAATCTAGTGAAGAAGATGCGGTTGGTAAACTAGCAGAAGCCGAAGAAGGTATTTGTGGTCCATTCCAAGTACAGATATCGGCAAAGTGATTATTTGAAATTTCACCCTTCGCTTCTACGTCAGTAACAACATCCTGATATGAATTCATCAATGCCGGGATCAAGGACACACGATCACGTCGCATCGTATGTTTCACTGGCGACCACCAAACTTTAGAAGAGTTAGATATTTTGCTATTGATTTTCTTGAAATACTCTTTCTTAGCTTAATCACAAGCTTCTATATACGGGACACATACAACATCATACCGTTGTTGATTAAATGAAGACGGCCTCAACTTTAAAGTCCGATATAATCTTATTTTATGTTTATATAATTGACGAAGTTCTTCTGTGAACCAAATTTTATCACGAGATTTCAATGTTATTATCTTATGTGGAATGAATTTATTTATTTGCTCAAGAAGAATTTCTTCAAATGCTACTACCTTATCATCAAGGTTATTGTAATTACGGATAAGATGGTAGAAAGGAATGTGTGAACAAGTTCAGATCCCAGTTAACAAATTTATAATCATACATAGTCCGTACAATTTCCTGTTTACGAGTTACTTGAATGTTTAAGATAAACTCAATAAAACTATGATCACTACGTTCTAGCTTAGGTATAATTGATACATCAGATGTAATGGTCAAATCCAAACACGTTTCAGCAGCTGGTCGAGTTACTCCAGAAACAAGTTGATTTAAATTACGAGATATCAGGTATTTACTTAACTGAATACCCTCGACAGTTGACTTCTTCGGTCCATTAGACCATGGTTGAAAATGAGCATTAAAGTTGAAATCAGATGTTTTATATTTAGAATGAGTTCTTTTAAACAGAATAGTATCGATATGATCAAGAAATGGTTGAATGACAGGGTTAGGAGGTCGATAAATTGTAAACATTAATACTCGAAGAGAAGGAGTAAGAGTGAGCCTAATACAATGAATCTCCCACAAGGGGTCATCAAATTCAGTGATACGAATACAATGGAAATCATTCCTCACATAAACAACACATCCTCCGCCACGCCGATTACGATCCAGTCGTAAAGGGGTCTGGTAACCGGACAAATCGATCTCAACATCCTCGACTGTATGATCAATCCATGTTTCAGTTAATGAAAGCACAATAGACTGAGTTAATGTCACATAAGCGCGAACCCTATCAATTTGAGAGGTCAAACTTCTTATGTTCTCTCAAGTCAGTAGCCGTGTTTGTTACTACCGTTTAGTGAGTAGTTTGATATGAAGTAATAAACCATTACCAGCGAGCGACCAAAGAAGAACACAAGGATACAAGACGAAGAATGTATAAGTGAGGTGAGTAGAAGTAATGGGATTAATAGGATGAATGGACGGCGATGACGAATGTGATAAATATGTGATAACGGGCATATATGTGAAAGAACCGGTAGAACAAAAAAAAAAACTAGAAACTACATACAGAAACAAGATAAATATGGCAAGCATGCAAAAATAAAGAGAGGAAAAAAAGGTTCACGCACATGTTAGGAACGGTTAATGATCTTTAACCAATGTTAAAGATTTATCAGCATTTCTAATATAAACTCGACCTTGTCGTGTGACTACTTTATGTTTTTCAGTATCATCAAGACCATCACGCGTTTTGTAATACAAGTTTAACATTTGTTTTGTTAAATCTTCAAGCACGGTTATCCCTAATTTTTGTCCTTTCAATTTAGTTAACGATGTCAAAATCAATTGACGAAAAGGGCGCGAATGGAAACGAACGATGATAGGACGGGGTTTACCAACACGTTTAACACCAGCCCGATGACAATTTTCAATAACTGGATGATGAATTTTAATTTCAAGATTTTTTGTTAGAAATTCGGACACACGTTTCTCGATGTTATCATTTGTTCCTCTCTCTTCAAACCCATAAAATCGCAAGTTAAATGATCGATTGTACCGCTCCAAATCAAGTGTTTTTTGTCCGAGTTTAATAGTACGGCTTTCTAACAATTCAATCTGATCGCATAAATGTTTTAAGAGGGAGTCAAACATAACATCAACGATTTTCTCAGCAGCTACTGTAATTGAGTTATCGTTTTTCTGAACGACATCAGCAACAGCTGCTCAGGCCAAACAGAACGGTCCGTTAACGGCGTGTAAACGGCCCATTAACGGTCATCATAAAAACGGCCCGTTAACGGTATAAAAATGGTATAAAAAACACGCCGTTTACGATCAGCGTTAATGTACCGTTTTTACACCGGTAAGTTACGGTTTAAAAACG